TGGACTGCCAGCACCCAGTGGGTACCGGTAGGCTGGCCAGCGGCGCAGCCGCATTTGGGGAGGGCTTTATCCGTTGACACGTCTCACACGTGCGCACATAGGTGCTCGTCCATTTGTACAACTTGGGCCACCAATAGTGGTGACACACAGAGTTGTACGTTTTCTCACGACCGAGATGACCACTGAGTGGCGTGTCGTGAGCCTCAGAGAGGAAGCGGTATTTCAAATCCTCGTTATGAGGAACCACAATTCGTGGTGTATCCGTTGAATCGATGCTATAATATATAGCAACCCATTATTCAACGAATATCGGTGCAATCGTGCACGCATTCGTGATGATAATTTCTTGTCCGACTATCGAGCTCCTTGCTCCCTAGAGCCCGTAGCAACGCTACACACATCCCATGACCCGCATACGCGGTGCGAATCAAATTCGTCACAGACGACGTTACAGTTGTAACATGAGCAAGCTCATCGTCTGGTTTGCGTGACAACGCGTCAGCCAAAGCATTCTGCTTTCCCGGCTTATACTTCACCTCGAAGATATATTCCGCAAGGAAGGATAGCGATATAGCCATCCTCTGTAAGAGGTGGGGCGACTGAGTCGCAGTGCGTAATGACGCATGATCTGTGTAGATCACAAACGGCTTGGAGCCGAGCAGATGGACCCTGAACTTGACGAGTGCATACTTCATCGCATGTAGCTCCTTGTCATGAACTGGGTAGTTCTTCTTAGCAGCTTTGAGCTGCAGAGATTCGAACGCGATCACCCAATCTCGCCCCTCGGCGTCTGCTTGCAGCAGCGCACAGCCGATGGCAAAGTCCGAAGCGTCGCAGACGACGCTGAAAGGACGATCAGGGTCTGGGATTGCCAGTATTGGTGCATGCAGGAGGATGTCTTTGACCCCGTCGAGAGCCTCCTTATGTTTGGTGTTCCAATACCATTCCGCATCCTTTTTAAAGGGATTGGATAATGGCCGGGCCATTTCTGCGTAGTTTACGCTGTACTTGTGCAAGTAATTGGCAAGACCAAGTCACTTACGCAAGTCCTTCTGGCTTTTTGGAACCGGCCAATCTACAATAGCCTTGATTTAGCGGGATCCGCTCGAAGGCCACGCTTCCCGATGAAGCACCCTAAAAAGGGAATCTTTTCTGCGCCAAAGATACACTTGTCTGCATTGGCGTACAGTTTATTAGTGTGTATGCACTCGAGCACCGCTCTTAGATGAACGATT